AACATCTAAAAAATACAGATATATTTCGAAACATTTTACATTTTAATTTAAAATTAAATCATAAATAGAAATGTATATATATATATATATATATATATATATATATATATATATATATATATATATATATATTTTTTATGTCTTTTTCAAGGTCATTGTGTGGGTGGGGCGGCACCCTAGCGCCCTCTATTGACCAGCCTCCACTGCTTTAAACTACGTCAACCTGCATGTATCCCTTTAGTCATGTATAAAGAAAACTATTTAATTACTTTTTGGTGTTTTTTAAGCAATCTGTACATGACTAAAGGGATTAACGCCTCTTCAGGTAGTTTAAAGTCTATTTTTCATAGAAAACTAAAGAGATAAACGGGAATCTGACGTCTTGTGCATGCGTACTGACTATAGGTATGCTGGTCTGATGGGGTACGCTGGTCTGATGGGGTATGCTGAAATGACAGACACTGGTTTTGTTGCAAATCCAGTTTCAGGCTTTATGTAACTGAACCCTTGAAGAACCTGCTGTCATCAAAACAGGCTTAAATCTGAAGTGACTTTCTGAGTGAGAGTTCGGTTGCTTTGGATTTGAGCCCGTTTTGGTTTCCATGATGCAGATTATCCAGGATGCTAACAGGTTCTGATCAGGAATCTGGATTTAAGCATCTGAAATGTGTCGTTCAGGCTTTGGGTCGGTCAGAGGAACCTCGCATACAGACATGAGCGTGAAGTCATCGGCACCATGAGCTTCTGCTCAAGGGCAGAAGTCCTGCGCAGTCCAAACCCGGTACCAGAGACACCAAGGAGGCCTTGGGAACCCGGCGTTAGATTCCCGGTGGCCAACAGATCTCAGGTTCCGCCGATGGAAAAGCTTGGAGTCTGCAGCTGAACTGAGAGACGGCAACAGGAGTCTGAGGAACTGTGAGAAAGCAGCTGGAGGAGAAGAAGCCAACTGGACCCATCGGCACCAGCTGAGGAGCTGCACTCCCAGGCCGGGGGATTGGATCCCAGACGTGATGCTGGAACCATCCCAGAGGAACGTCTGGGAAGCTGCGTGAAGAACAGCAGCAGGTGAACTTCAGGGAGCAGGAAGGCTGGAGGTCAGAACCTCAGCAGAACTCTGTGAGGTCATCAGGACTGAAATGTTTAAAGTGAGTCTTGATACTAATGATTAAAAATAAAGCCTGGTTCTGTTTGATTGCTGATACAAAATGCGGAAGTGTGACGCCACTCCGAGACATAGGCTAGCTAACATGTCGGATGTAAACACTGAAACAGACAGCGATGAAAAATATTCATTAATGGAGCGTATTTCCAGTCAACCAACAAGTCCGGCCTGAGATGACCTCCATAATCGGTCTGGTAAAGAGCAGGCGGAGCTTGATTTCAAAGGCGGGGCTAACAGGGTCAGCATCATCAGGTTAGAACCAGTCAGTAACAGGAAAAGTCGCTCATATTCAGAATTCAAACTTCTAAAAGTTCTTTAAATCTGAAATGATTCCATCCTGTTCAATGAATGATCAGTGTTTTTAATTCAGAGTAATTTTCATGTGAATGTGCTTTACTGGAGGCATCCATGTTTGTCAAAGAACACTACTGCCACCTACTGGTTAGTGACATTGTCACGGTGCGGTATCGGCTGTTGATCAAGTCCCAGTGCTGTATCTGGTGTTTGTCACAACGCGCTATTATCCAAGTCATCTTGAAAACATTCTTCTTCCAAATGTTGGCTACATATTACGGGTTTTTTCAGTGTAGTCCTGTTTCTCTGACTGTGATTGGCTGGATGTGCTCTGGAGGATCAGGAATCAGAAAGGAGAAATAACTCATTTATTTTCCACTTTTACCCGATGTATTCCATTAGCAATCAAATGAAAATTTGAGAGTAATGAAAATTACTCTGAATTAAAAACACTGATCATTTATTGAACAGGATGGAATCATTTCCTATTTAAAGAACTTTCTAGAAGTTTGAATTATGAATATGAGGGACTTTTCCTTTAAAACAAAAATGGAAGCTCTATTTCTCTAATTAATTAACAACAACTTTTTTTTAATTCCCTTCCTGCTTTTACACTGGGAGGATTGGGGGCATTGGTTGCCATGGCTACGCCTGACCCCACATCCAGCTCTGCCCCTGGAAGCAAGCAAACTGCACTGATTGATAAGCGAGGGTTAATAACTGCTGCAGCTGTCTGACTGCTTCCACTGGTTTAGTTAAAAACTGACGAAATAAAACCAAACTGGATTTAGTTTATCGTTTCCTCTTCCTGCTGCAGTCACCCTGCTATCATTAAAAGGCTGACCTCTGACCCTGGACCCACCACAGTGACTGGGTGGGGGGGATCTGACAGGAAGTCTGGGGGCGGGGTTAGGATCGGCGTTGCCTCAGGCTGCCATTTCGGTCAGTCGGACCCTGAACCTCAGAGTCCCGCTGATATTCTGATTCTGCCAGCGTACAAACACGGAATGAGCTGCAGCTTCATCAGGCCGTCAGAGGTCAAAGGTCATACATCAGGTCCCCAGTGAGTTTGATCTGAGCAGCAGATAAAACCTTCCCTGAATCCACGTCTGTGTGGATCTCAGCTCCGCCCCGCGCTGCGGCCCGACTTTCAGCAAAACAAACGCGCCGCAGCCAAAAATTCCAGCCGGAAAAGCAGGAGTTCAGGCGGGAGTCACTGGATCCTCAGCCAAGACACACAGTCACAAACACTCAGCATGCCTTTCTATCTTTACGAGGACTTTCCACTGACTGCCTTTCATCTCTGCTACCTAACCAGAAACCAGAACCGCTCCTTCAGGGCCCGGGTTTGGGTGGGTCCTCACAGAGCGTGTTGGAGAAGTGGGTCCAAATACCAGAGAGCACCCAGACATGGAGCTGGAGCTCACATCAGCACATCACGCTCCTCCAGCTGTGTGTAACCCTCCACCCGCCGGCTATCTGAGAAGTAGTCCCGGCGCCGACCGCAGGCTGCAGCTTCAGCAGAAACCAGTTTCCATCTGGATTCAGTCTCTCTGCTGTTTTTAGGTCCAGTTCAGAAGCTGCTGTGGTTCTGCAGAACCCAGAACATCTTTCATCAGAACCTTTGCTGCTTTTATCAGACGCTCCCTCCTGGTTCTGCTCATTCATTCCTAATGAAATGTTTCTAAAACTTTGGGTTCTTCCTGTTTTCTGGTTCTGGTCGTTCGGACCTGGAGCCTCACCGCCTTCCAAACAGAACTCTGACCTGTGGTTCTGATCCATGACTGATTCTGAACACTGAGAAGCTCTGAAAGCAGGAAGTGAGACGGGTTTGGATGCAACATCTGCTGATGCTTCAGAACCTTTGTTGTCATGGTTACCACCAGAGAGGAAGTCGCCATTTAAACAAAACGAACCGGATCCTGATGTTAAAAACCAAACGGATCAGAACCGAAGTCAGATGAAACTCATTGATCATGAAGGTCCGGTTCTTCCTGCTGCAGTGAAACAGAACCCTGCAGCAGAACCACAGAGTTCTGACCGACCCAGAGACCTTCAGCCTGTCTGCGGTCCGGGTCGGGGGAGGGGGTCCTGGATGGTTGAGGAATCATGTGACCCTCCTCAGCTCGCCATCATGTGACCTAGCTGCAGCTAACGAGCCTCTAATTAGATTCCCTCTAATGTGATGAAGAGCGGAATCTGACCCGCTGCCACAACCAGGAGACCAGAACCACAGTCCAGAACTAGACCTGGACCAGAACTAGACCTGGACCAGAACCAGACCTGGACCAGAACTAGACCTGGACCAGAACTAGACCTGGACCAGAACCAGACCTGCTTCTATGTAGAAACACTGAAAATCAGCTATATTGGATGAAGGTCAACAGGCCCAGAACCAGGGGCCAGAACCACAGGTCAGAACCAGGGGCCAGAACCAGGGGCCAGAACCACAGGTCAGAACCAGGGGCCATGAACCATGGTCCAGAACCAAGAGCCATGAACCATGGTCCAGAACCATGGGCCAGAACCAGGGCCATGAACCACAGTCCAGAACAAGGGGCCAGAACCACAGGTCAGAACCAGGGGCCATGAACCACGGGTCAGAACCAGGGGCCATGAACCACGGGTCAGAACCAGGGACCATGAACCACAGTCCAGAACAAGGGGCCAGAACCAGGAGCCATGAACCATGGTCCAGAACAAGGGGCCAGAACCACAGGTCAGAACCAGGGGCCATGAACCACAGGTCAGAACCAGGGGCCATGAACCACGGGTCAGAACCAGGGACCATGAACCACAGTCCAGAACAAGGGGCCAGAACCAGGAGCCATGAACCATGGTCCAGAACAAGGGGCCAGAATCACAGGTCAGAACCAGGGGCCATGAACCACAGTCCAGAACAAGGGGCCAGAATCACAGGTCAGAACCAGGGGCCATGAACCACAGTCCAGAACAAGGGGCCAGAATCACAGGTCAGAACCAGG